GGGATTTTTGAAGCAGAAAGTGTATGAGAAGGACTGGCAGGCTAAAACTATCACTCAACTCAAAGCTAGAGTCAGTCTTTGCCTTCGTAATTTGGACAAAGACCTTATACACCACACCTTCAGCTCGGTACACAAAAGACTCGATTTTGTCAGAAGGAATGGAATCGAAAAACTTTAAAAGACATTTTTTCTAACACTTAAAATTGTTGTTTATAAAATGCAAAAAACCGTTTTAAAAAAAATTGTAAAATGACTGAGATATCTTGTTTTAAAAGTTGGGCAAAATTTTAGTTGCGACCCGTTATATATATATATATATATATATATATATATATATATATATATATATATATATATATATATATATATATATATATATATATATATATATATATACACTATTAAAAATTTCCGTTAAAAAAACAGAAATGTATTCCATTATTTCAACGGAAAGTATCCATATGTCCATGCATGGATGTATCCATACATAGATGCATTTTTTCATATTTTTAGCAAAATTTTCAAATACAGAAATTTCCGTTGTATTAATAACTGAAGTTAGATATAACATGTTAGACCGCCATTAGTAAAGATTTGTAAAAGTTATTTTTATGTACACATTTATCTCCTAAAAGAAATTTATATATAGGTTTATTTATAAAATTCGACTATTGCACCTTTTTTGATTATTTATCAAAAAGTTGTAATGCTTTTATCAAAAGTTGTGTTTAGTTAAACATGTATTATTAAAAATATGCTTGTTTTATAAAATGTAATACTGTTAATTTTTTATTTATTAATTCATAGTTTATTTTTTATTTATTAATTCATAGTTATTTATTTATAAATTCATAGTTTTTTCTTCTGAAGGTTCACCTGCAAATCGAAGGAAGTTCACCAGGCATTTTATTAATTAACTGTTCTGTTCTTTTTTAATTTTAAAATTATATGAGCTTTAATTGGCCACTGGATTGCTTAGAAAGAGATTATGTTAAATATGAAACTTGTGACAAGACTTGTGCATTCTAAGTTCAATTTTGAGTGATTTTAAGTTTATGTAAGCGCACTCACATAACAATATTTTATATAAAATGGATCATTTCAAAGCCAGGGAAAAAGCTCAAATGTTAAAATATGTAACTTAAGAATAGCAAATTTTAAAATTGCACTACTTAAGCACTAGTGCCTCTTTTGATAAAACCAATGAATTTCTGATTGTTTTAAAAACTTTTTATAACAACTTATATTTTTATTATTATTTAATTAAAATAACTTAATAAATAAAATATTTAGGTTATCTACAAGTAAACATTAAAAAAATAAATTTAAAACAAAGTTATAAAGATTACCCCAGAAATTACAACTATGATTAAAATACATTGTTTCAGGCTTGGTCGGGAAGCGGGTGCGATCGCACTAGATAACTGACCACGGAAATAATATTTAGTTGCGAAAAACCGGCCAGATTTTAAAGTCGCTTTGAGAACATTTAAGTTTATGTATGTTTCCTTGTTTGTCCGCAAAATAATAGGTTTCATTTTATCATAAATTTTAAAATATTTTGTTTTACGGACTTACATTGAAACATACATAAACTTGAATGTTCTCAAACATCTTAGTGCGGAAAAATAAAAAAAGAATATTCGCAAACACAAAAAACCCGCTAAATCTACGAACAACCAATTCTAATGGTTCCAAAGACACTAACTGAAACTTCTAGAGTATTTAAAAAATAATAACCGAATGTCCTGACTATTCTGTTGAAATATATTTAAAAATTGTATTATTTGAATTTTGTTACGTTTTCGTGAGATTTCCAGCATAAATTATTTTAAGAATATACTATCAAATGAACTAGCATTTTAATTCTTAGAGCCACATCTACAAAGCTATAAATGTTTTAAACAAACATTATTTGTTTACAATGATAAATATTTAAAATTTATATTTTTTAACTTGTCAACGTTTTGTAAATATATTATAGATTTTATTAGTATATTCTTATTTTTTATATATAAGAGATGTATTTTTTATGTATGTAATGTATTTTTATGTATGTAATGTATTTTTATGTATGTAATTTTATGTATGTGTACTTTATTCAAATGTAATCTTTTAAAGCAATTTGCGTGTAAAATACTTTCAATAATAACTGCGTTTTCGATGAAATTATTAAAATTCGTCAAAGTTAATACAAATAATTTTAACCACTAATCCATTTTCCTCAGTGTACCCGATAACTGATTCTTTCCCCCAAGAAAGAAAAGTTTTTAAGTTCTTAGAAATTGGTTTACTAACTTCAATTATTTTTGCTTCAGCCATTCTTACAAACTCGTTATACTTAAAGTTACTTTTTTCTGTTTTAAATACAAATTAGAATTATAAAGCCCACTCACTAAACATCATCAGCGTTATTGTGAAGCAATTCCGCTTCCTCCTCGCAAAGTAATTTAACGTTTTTAGTTAATTTCTATCTAGCTAATTGAATTTATAGAGTAAC